GGGTTTTCAAGGATTTGATATCTGTAACAAAACAAACATACACTAGCTTTCACCTTCAGTGGGCAATAGCCAAATGCCTGATGCCAACAGCACATGTTGCTGGTTCATGGTTCTAGATTGAAAAGTAAGGGAGAGATTTTTGGGCACATTCAAAACACGCTGGTGTAATTTTTACTCTGAAAAAAATGTAGGCCAGCCCATTTGAGAACAATCCACTTGTCAAAATTTCTCACAAAGTTAATAAAATCCACCAACTCAGGAGTTAAATCTTTGCATACAAAAAGCTGCCAGAAGTGTAATACATATTCCAAGGTAAAGCATATTGACACATTTTAAAGTGTTTTTTAAATATTGCAAGGCTTAGTTGCTGCTTAGTAAAATGAACAAACTTCAGCCCTGGAATAGGTTAATGAATAACTAATCAGTAAGGACCAAGTCACCAGGGAATTTCACATTATTTGATGGCTTTATATCTCTATGTATGCCCTTCCACCTGAGTACAATTTTGTGAAATTTTAGTGGCCTGTGTTTTATAGTCTAGGTGTTTTCAGGTTTTCAAATCTGCACATCTGTAAATTATATAGAAAGGAATGAAATGTGCTTCCTTACCTGCTTAGGTACAGTAGACTGATTTCACAGTTTTTAGAGACTTCAATTCAGGACAAAAAATAAACTAGGAACTTGCTCATGGACCCACTGGGAATTTTTTCACGAAATGCTTTATATATTCTCCTTCACTATAAGTGGTGCTACTTAAAGTCAATTCTTAAATTACTGGAAAAAAATCAGCATTAAAAGAAGTTTTTATTGGCTCTAAGATTAAATACATAATACCCTCAAAGAAGTGTGGGGGAATTAAAAGGGAACTGAAGAGGAAAAATCACATAGATGATAAACTGTTACCCATTTTTTCTTTGCAGACCTAACACCAGACTAGAATATAATAATAATTAAAAAAATATAGAATCATTAATATGCTTACCTAACTACAGCACATAATATATCAATGTTGCAGATGCTCTTTTCACCCAGAAAAAAGATGCAATCTTGCTGAGTTATAGCCAACCCTCAACAGTTTCTCAGCAGAAGGAAATCATGGGATATGCAAGGATTTATCTCGCTCCATTTCATTCAATTGAGACTGCTCAGCTCTGATCCTTCATTCCAGGGACTGGCTTCTCTTTGTCCCACTGCCATCCTAAAGAAACAACCAAAGGCTGAGCTGGTCTAAAAACCCAAAGGGACCCTTTCTAAAATTTCTTTCTTTTTCCTTCAGCTGAAGATATTGTATCATGAGAAGACAGTGGCTCGAGCTGGCACATGAGACTGTTCCAAAATTGCCCCATCATGGCTGGTCCTGAGCCCATGGTTTTCCTCCTCTTCTCTCTTTGCTTCCTCAATGTACCCCCAAGAAGTGCCATCCTCCTTTCCTGCCACAGATTCTGCACCCCAAAATGCAGAATGGTTCAGGTTTTTTCAACCTGAATGGCTGAAAAAAGTGCTGCAGGATACACCATCCATTCTTCTGGCAGGAGAGGAAGAAGTAACTTTCAAGAGAAGAAAGTTGAATTGGGTTTATGAAGAATTATTTGTCGCGTGGCAAGAGCCTTGCAATATGAATTCAATTAAATACATGGATCTTTTACTCTCCATAAATTATGCATTAGCAGGCAGCCACTTAACTGATACTCCAGTTTTAACCAAACTCCATTAGAACTGAAAGACAGAGCAAATGTTTTCTGTCCTTCCTTTCTGGAACAGTTCCACTCTGAGGCTACTTCTAAATTTTATCCACCAGCAGCATACTCTGTGCATTTGCTATTAGTTCTAGTCAAACAGATTATGCCTTGCTTATTATTTATAATTTTAATTTAAAGATTATATAGACAGTTAGTTGTGTTTTTATAATGTTGTCTTAAGCTCTTTTACATTTATTTTCAGCTTCTGGCGTCAATTTCATAATCTGACGTGACAAAAAACCCCACATTTTTTGCATTGCTGATGTATTAATATTTATCTTTTCTGTTTTAAATCACATACATCTGTCATGGCAAATGTTCTGTTAGCTCTTTATACCATGGATAGGTGAGTTCCCAGACATCATCCCTAAATTCTCAGGGATCCTTCCTTTCCTAGTTTAAATCTCTAATAAGTCTATCTGCTTTCCTACACTGACAATCCTTGGCCACAAAAATATTTGGGGACCATTCACTCATCACAAAACAGGAGGCATCCTGAGCATTCAAGAACTTCTAACAAAGACATTCATTTTAATTATTATTGAAGCAAATCAATTACTCCCATTTTATAGTTTTGCTGGATCTGAGTCAAGCATTACTACTGCCTATCATCCACCAAAGACACATCAAATAAAAATTTAAAACTTTCGAGAATGCCAAATATTTTGGCAGCCATCTACTAGTCTCTAAAAAACCTACTTAATTTTTCATGGCGCTCAGGGTTTTCCAAAGTTCCTCTATTAAATACACAATTACTTCCAAACATGAGTGAGCCAATGACTCAAACTCTTCAAAACAGCACAACTGGATTTGACAACAATGCCACTGGAAGGGGTCCCCAAATGTCCCCATCACAGCAAAGGATTTTGTGGGTGGAACAAAATCTGTTTTTGTTCTGAGCTGGATGCTTCACAAATTCTGGAAGAAGAGGTGGTTCCTGTCCAGACCTTCAAAAGGTATTTGATTTTCCGAATTGTGGCCCCCTCCTTAATTTTCTGTGAAAGACTGACAAGAATTTTCTGTCTTCCAATCCCATTTCTCCATGGTTTTTTTTTCAATAGAACTATATATTTTCCAGCTGATGTGGTTGATTTTCTTCTTGATTCCAGCACTGGCTTTGCAGGTCACCTTAGGAGAGAATTGTCACTTCCCTGCTTCTCAGGTTGCTCTGATATAAAAAGGAAAAACTAATGTCTATTTTAAGTGCCGTGATATCTATGGCTGAGAAGTGTTCCTTGTAAGCAGTTATTACTTAGAAATGACAACAGAAAAACAGAAAGTGCTTTCAAAATTAGAAAAACAAAATGGAGCACTTCAAGGAGTGTTTTTTTTGTTACTCTTCACTCCCATGCACAACACGGTGTGACAGCAGCAATGGAAAGTTTTTTGGGGGCTTTTGTACACCAAAAAATAGCCCCTTGCCACCTCTCTTTCTTACAGTTACTACTATATTTTCTACTTAATCTTTAAGAAATTTGTTCTTATATTTTTTTCATTTTAATGTCCTTTCCTTTGCCATTAACCTTTGCAATGATGTAAAGAAAGCCTAGACTAAAGTGCTGCATAAAATATGATTAAATAAAAACTGTAAGGACGACAGAGAGAAAATTGCCTTTTGTGTCTAACACACAGCTTGCTCCAACCAAATTCACCAGAATCCTGCACACTTGTCAAGCCCTGGCCTAAAATTCACTTTATTCTGCCCCTCACCAGCACCCTCTTTTACAAGAAAGCATAGGGAGAAATTCAGTTTTCACCCATATGCCACAAATGTCCGTGAGGACAATTTCCCCTCACAACTTTTCCCTTAGAAATGTCAGCTCTCCTGTCTACCCATAAATTCACTGATTTAAAAGAAGGAGAGAGAGAGAGGGAGAGGACTAACCAAGGCTTTGTCCATTTGGAAGCCACAGGCAGGCCTTACCATTTTTTTACTTCATCACTTTTTCACATCATTTTTTGTATTAAACAGGCAAAGACAACTAAGATGAGCAGAGGAACAAAAGTAAAAATGTTAACCTTTTTCCTCAGTATATGTAGCATTTTAATAGCTTATGAAGGAAAGTTCTGTGAAAACATGAAAATATTTTGCTAAATCGGCTGGGTCTAGAGTTTGAAAATTTATTGTAGCATATTTCACCATTCTTATCAATGTAAATACTATTTTGTACATGACAAAAATCGATGAGAACAAATCCTCTGAAGTAATTTATATTACAAAACAAATGATAGCCAAGTATTACACAAATATAACCAGTCTGGTCTTTACTTTAGAAACTAGATTCTCTGCAGTAAATTTAGACAAAGATTACTTAAAACCTACATGTAAAACATGTGGAGAAAAATGAATTTTTGCTGTGCATACAACAATGGCTTCCATTACTGTAAGGACAGCCTTTTCTGGTTTATTTTCTTGAAAAACCTACATTTTTATCAAAATTCTAGTCGCACTCAAAAAAATTGTTAGCAATAGAACAATAAGTATTTTGTGTATTAATATATTGGTAAAATAAGATTTGATATTTATCAAAGAGAACAGGTACATTTTCCATAATCTCATTTGCTGTTTTGCACATAAAAGGCTTGGAAATTTTTTAGTCTAAGGGACAAGGAGAGTGTGCAGTTGCTTGGGATTTTTTTCCTATAGATAAATGTAATATAGATTCATCAGAAGTGTCATATGAACTTCTGTGAAAATTTGGTTGTTTGCATTTGTTATTTGGTGGTACAGTTGTGTTTGGAATTTTACGTGGCTTATGGTGCTGAAAAATGTTATTATTATGTTGAGCAAGCTTATAAACAGACATTAATCCTTTTCATAAGTAGGCCAAAAGAAAAAAAGATATGGGTTTAGGAAAAAAAATTCCTATCCATGTTGTCACTGTTGATGATCTCTTCCATAAAAAAATACATTTTTATTTGGCACTACTTATTCAGTAAGGTCAAAACTTGAAAATAAAATACATGGACAGTTTTACTCTAGAAATAAACATTGTCAGCTAATAAGGATCCGGCATCGTGGGAGACAGAACTCAAGCAGCAATAACCAGATGAAATGGCAAGGAGAAAAACTAAGTCATAAGAGAAGACAATGAACACACTAAGTTAATATTCACTATAATAATTAAACACATTGCAAAAGAGAGAGAGGGAAAGAGCTTGTTTCAACATAAAACAAGCACAGATGTTACCAGACTGATAATATCAAGTGCATCTTCAGCAGCAGTAAGATTTATCTGCGCTTCCTGACAAATTTCTCACCATTTTGAGTCCAAATTGTTCTCTTGTGGCTCTATTTCCATAACCATAAGCTCATGAAGGGTTTGAGGCATTTTTCATTGGGAAAACCTGACTTCTCATGACATGAGAAAGAATATCAGCCAAAGAAATGCTGTGCTGTGGTGGTGCTTTCTTTTCCACCCTGTCTTCGGAAATAGAGGCAACCTGCTTTGTGACAAAGAAAAAGAAAAGGACACAAGACATCAAGAAAAAGCTCCAAATTTTTTATTCCTATAATGGTTTCCTCATCCTCTATTTTTTAATTGTCTTTCTATAGTCAGTAAATTCTCAGAAATTTGGATTTTCCTTGGCTGGATTCCCAGCCATGCAATGAGGACACTGAAGTTCTCTGCAGAAAGTTTTTTTGCATCTTCAGCAAGTAATGAAAGCTATGTTTTACTCTTTTATTTTTTTCTTCTGTCTGATTTCCCTCTTATTCTCTCTGATAATTTTCATTTTGGGAGTACAATGGCTCTGCATTTGGGATGCTATCATGTGCCTAGCTTCAGTCAAACCTGGGGGTGCCAATGGACTTCTTGACTGTGGTTTATTTTTTCTTATTGACTGTTCAGAAAAGTTGGCTGGATTGGGAGGAGGTTTTTGCTTTCTCCTCACCAGAAATTCAAAAGATCTGCTTGGACAAAAACTTTCTGCTGTCATGTGGAACAACTGCAGACAACAATTTTATGGTAACTCCAGGTCCTCGAAAGAATGAGTCAGGACAAAAAATCTTTCACTTTTCGTTCTTACATGCAAAGGAAGAAGAACAGTAAGAAAAAAAAGTTAGTGAAATATAAAGGTAGAACTGCAAGAGCACCCCTCTGTCAAGGGGTTAATACTGTACAAGTTGTCTCGTTACTAGCTGTAGCATGAGATAAAACTATGCAATTTTTCATTAAACTTTTAATGATAAAACTATGCATTTGTTTTTCATTTAACATCTAATTATTTTCCATTTTTTGTCCTAATCTACCCAAAATTACAGTATACTGCAGATAGAACCACACATGCACCTTACTTTAACCAAACCAGCACTTTTTCTTCCTGTGGAAGAAACACTTTGGAGTCAATTAATTAATTCCCCTTCTTGTGCATAATATTCTCTGAGCTGCCTGCAAACCTCTATCAACTGTGATTGCTATCAGCAGAAGACACACCCATCAGAGCCCAGACTTTGTAGCCTTCCATCACCTACTTTTGTGGCCTTTGAAACCCACCACCCCTAGAGCACACCTGAAGGCCTAGATTAATTTGTCTTTTTCAAAAGGAAGCCACTGGTTTGCTCCAACTTGTTTTGATGCCTCAGGTTTTAGCTTTTATAAGCTTTTAGCTTCTATATTTTTCAGATTCTGTGCTGCATTAGTGTGTGGGTCTGAGCTTCATATTAGGGGATGGCAAGCTCTCTTCATGGAGTATGCAGACAAAACAATTCCTTCTCTAGCTGGGGACCAAGGGCAGCCCATCCAGATCTCAGGCCCAAGAGCACAAACAATGGCAGAATGAAGAGAGAAAAACGAGGATGGGACTTCATAAGCTAAAGCTGTAACTGGACAATAAACTCCAAAATGCAAATGGACCAGAACTTACAAAAGTGAGAGACCCTATGACCAGCTGTCCATTTTGTTACCATTTGGGTTCATCTTGGGTGTAGCCCCGGCTGGGCTCTTGCGCTGCCCAAGGTGGATCCACTGAGGCCTCCAAATAAATCCCTACTTTATTCTTTAACTCTGCCTAGTCTCTGTTCTAGGTCAAACTTCACAAGGGATCAGTTTCATACAATGCAAAGAGCAAAGCCAAAGCCATGTTTTCCCAATTACCAAAACAGGAAAGCGTGCACTTACACTAGGCCATGGCTATTTAATGGTACTTTGCAAGCATGAGTGAAAAGAAGCATTCCTGCTCGTGGGTACCATGCTTTAAACAAGGAAAATACCAGGCTATAACTCACCAAACTGATGTTGCATTAAAATTTTATGATAGCAAGCAAACTCATGCTGACAAGCACAGCCTGACAACAATTTGTCATTCATCATAATTAGGAGCTTGTGATAAATCTGATGTTCTGCCCTTTGTGTATATATCCCTTTTAAATGTACTTGCTTTCCCTTAATATTTCTTTTCTTCAGATATCATTAGTCATTGTGTTCAGACAAGGAAAATAAGGAAAATAGACAACAGAACATGTTTAACACAAAGGAAGGAAGGAAGTGGCGGAAGGAAG